TCTCCATAACAGAGCAGCAATTGATTTTCTGTTGGTCCTTCATAATCATGGTTGTCAAGAATTTACGGATTTATGTTGTCTTAATTTTTCTGATCACTCCAAATCCATACAGGCAAACATTAATACCTTACATGAATTGGTTTCAAAACTCAGACAAGATCCAAAGTGGCACACCCCTGATCTTTTTGAAGGTTTAAAATTCCCCTCTTTACCGAACTGGGCCAGACAATTACTTTTAGTTTGTATTTCTATCTTGATTTCTATTGTATTGGTTCTATGCATGATGCCTTGTTTAGTTAGTATTTTAAAGAAATATTGCCTGCCACAAATGAACCCGAGTGTCCTGGAGGTCCACGTGAAACCATCTAACTATACTCTCTATCGTCAAGAAAACAAAAAACGGGTAGATGAGGAGGACAAAAAGAGAGCAGACTTCCATCGCTGGAAGGAACTATATGATAAATATTAAAAGGACATTTGAAAGGACTTTTATTCACTGCTATGTACATGGACTTTATGCACTTACATGATTGGACAGTTTTATAATGTTTCATGTGTTTAATGTTTGTTGTAAGACTCATGATTATATTGTATTAGTGTAGGTTTTTATTCCAAGTTCTATTCCCCTCATGAAATACTGTAATCCCATTGGTTAAGATCCCTCAGCTAGGATTGGACGGTTACAGGTGCAGCATGGGTGGGCCAAGCTGAGGTGATTCGTTTTCCTATTGGTTGTTCATTACGGTGCTTTCTCTGTACGGTTCCCTATTGGTTATACCCCTTGCCAATCCTTAAACTCCTCCCATGTTCTAGTCCCTTCTCCCTCCTACCCTATATAAACCCCTGTTCATCCCTCACTCGGGGATGCCATTTTGGCTCGCTAGCTGGTAACATCCCTTAGTGTCGCAGCCCCTCCTGTTTTGCCCTGAGGCTTTGGCTGAGCGCTTAATAAACATCCCAGCTGAGCACTCCAACAACAGTGGTGTCCTTCTCCACTTCCTTACCAGGCTGCGGCAGTTGTACATGAGCTACCAAGCCTTAAAGTGATCATCTTTGTTGGACCTTTTAAAGATTACCTCTTCAATGTCACTTTTATTACTGAGATTGCTTTAAAACAAACTTTCCCCAAGATATACAGAAATCGTTAATGTACTACAAAGTGTCCGGCCTTCTAAAAGGTCTTCTCCAGGACAGCGGATGGACATGGCATGCTGGGGCAGATTGCTGCAGTGCCAGGGTATGTACAAGTCCTTTGCTTGGCATGGCTTCCCCACTCCACTCCTGCAGCACAGCCACACGGCACAGCCACGTACAACGGATTTAGCTGAGGTTAATCCTTCACCCGACCATTGTTTCCTTCTGTGGGTTTGCCTTGAAACCTTTGACACTCCCCTCATTGTACCTCTTGCAGTGCAAATTTCCTTGTTTTGTTTTGTTTCTCAAAGTAATTTTTGGTTGATTATTGTGTAGTTACAGAATTAGAGTAATAACAGCTAATTGTACATTTGAAGCAAAACCATGTAATTGTGGGAGACTAGATTCAATTTAAATAAAGAAAACCCTTCCACCAGGGTTTCTTGTGCTCACAGTGCATTTGCCAGGCAGTGCTGCTGTGATTGCATCTAACCTGCAATTAGCATGAGCAATTAAGACAAAATTAACGTGTGCAATTGCATTATTTCAGGATGTAACGGTAGTAATATTTAGCGGTTACTGAACTAGACACAGTGCTTATGAGCTCTAATAATTATCAGCATTTACTAGTTACACCACAGAAAGGAGGACAGGCGTGAGTCGGCCCTACGTACAGCAACTGATTTCCAGGATAAACAAGCTTTATTCGCCTGTTAAAGCCCATGGAAGTAGCCAATGGGGAAGAGAGGCTGCACAGTTTTGGCACTGTTGAAAGAGTGGGACTCAAAACGCCACTTTCAGCTTACTTTTGGATTGTCACAGAGCTCATGTGTGACATAATAGAGAGCAAACTTAACACTGAGTATTTCTGAATTATTCTCCTCTGCCTTCAACATTTCATATCAGTTTTGTAAGTCCTATAAAGGTACTCAAGGATTTAAAAGTAAAAATTACTTGAGCATGGATTAATGCTGTGATCTGTGTGTATGAGGAAATCCCAGGCCATAACAGGTTTTTATATACTCCTACTATTTTGGGAATGCAGCTCTACCAGTTCTACCATGCCTTTCTCAAAGGACATTTCTTGTCCTTTAGGGACAAGGTCAAATGCTATTTGAAAAGCATCTTAATGAACCATTGAAGGATACAAACGAAAATATATTTCAATTCAGTCTCACAGAAATAAAGATGAATCTGAACCTGTAGGCACGAGCCTCAACTAGAAAAACCGAGATGTTCAGAGTGCAAAACTGCTGGTATTAAAATGAAAGATCCCAGTCATAAAACTCAGGGCCCAATCCAGGAAGGGTTTCCAGTTACACCAGTGGGAGTTAGAAGCACTAAAATCACGCATGACCACACTCTAATGATTAGTATTAATCTATCACAGAAACTCATAACAAAAGTCCTCAGATGGGGTCTACTGACTCTAGGCATACTGATTTATGTAAGTGATTTTTGCTCATGGACCCATCATAAAATGCCCAAAGGTCTCCCAAGATGCAGCCACACAACTAAGAGCAAAAACTGCCTCAGCATCCCTTCTGTCTAAATAGTTCTTTCCTTTTCTTTTGAAAAAATTATTAGGGGTAGACAAGAAATTACAGTCAACTCAACCAACTCAACCAATGGATCAGGTTCTACACTGATTTATCCATGTACCTCACTACTTCCAGAATTTGGTTTAGCATCCTGAGAGATGGTGCTTGCCAGTAATTAGGAGAGGGAGTTCATGAACCAATCTCAACTAGCTAGAACAGACAAAAAAAAATTAAATGCATTTCTGCACAGACAACTTATCCTCTGCAAGACTAAGATAAATTGTGACGCATTTTCATCCACAACATTTATTAAAGATGATATGGGCACAGCACACAGATAAACCACATCCTGAAGCAGGGTTAAACCAGGTTTCACATTTTAAAGCTGAAGTGCTATATGGAGTGTTCATAGGCACCTTTTTTATATATATGCCCCTGCGGTTGGAGATTGACAAATGACAAACACAGACTATATTTATAAGGGTGTAATTTACTTCACGTTTTATTAAAATCACCAGCTACAAAATAGAAATTTTGTACATACTAATCTTAAATAAGCAACAATAAGAAAATCGCATTAGTCATGAAATATTGTGCACCTGGGACACAATAAAGGGTCAGAAATAATAGAAATTATATGGAGATTAGATAAGGTACTCACATCACACTGGAAGGTAAACCCATAGCTTTGAAGAAATCAGGGCACATGTTGATCAGAGACCTATTTTCTACAAAAGTGAAAAAAAATTCCAGCTTGCTCTCATTTAAACATACTCTAGCCACTACTGCCACAGAAAGGAACTGTGTTACTTCAGTCTGACATGTGCCATAAGTGTCACAGTATCTGGAAACAGAGAAATGTACTAAAAACACAAAGAGAAATGAGACAGTAACACACTGACAGTGGTGGTGTCACAAGACACCATGGATCAAAATCTTAGCTGATGAAAGGTGTCATAACTTCTTCACAAACCGAAAATCAAGTACTCACCATAAACAAAACATCCTGACACTGTTTGTCTTTTCCTTCAAGGTCAAAAAAACGAAGGAGAAGGGATAACAATCCTGTCTAACTCAGGAAGCAAAGTCATCCCATCCATCCAGCACTCCTTGTGTAATTTTCGCTCCACCCAGAGTGACTGGGAGGCAAAATAAGCCTTACAGGCCCTGAATTTAGGTAAGAGCTTTCCAAGATCCTGGTAGCTGGTACAGCCAGAAGACAAGTCAATTAATGATTGAGTGATTTGTGAGTATTAAAAGGCAAAATCCAGGGGCCACATTGTGATACTCATTTTTATATTACTATCAACATGGGTTTGGTTTAAAGATCAATATGATAAGCACAACTGTATTCACCTCCAGGACACTGCTATAGGCATCTGTCAGGGGCTGCAGGATGACTCTTGCTCCTAACCACTGCTCTGATACTGTGACCTCCTTGGTTATCATGACCTTGCTAAACTTTTCACAGCATCATCTTGAAGATTGGAAGTAGGAATTTCATGCAATGTTAGTTTCTAGTACAGTGTAGAAAATGAAAATAAGGAAGCATTGTGTTTAAAGACAGCTTTCAGGACAGAAAACATTATAGCAGAAAGGTTCATATTGGTCAGTGCTACCTCAAATACAGAACAAGGAATAAACATCAAAACATTAAAGCTAAGTAGATGTTGATTACAAGGTGAAAGACATGGCTATTTCCATTAGTTTGCTGCAAGAACTTCATCCCAAGAAATACATTTCTATCTTTATAAAATAGATCATTTTTATAGAATAAAAACAAATGAAAGGTATACTTTAACTCAAACACAAAGTGCAGAACTTAGTTTTCTAACCTAAAATTGACCAAAAATGTTCAAGCTGTTCATATCCTACAATCACAGGAAGACCTTCTCTGATCACTACTAATGTAATTTCAGAGTCAACTTACAAATTATACACTGATAACATAAGATCAAGTAATCTCAAACCTGTTGGAAAATACAAACAAATAATGTAATAAGTAATTCTGCTATATTAGTAATATATAGTAACCATGCATAAAAATATGCATCTTTTGGGTAAATATTTTTTTCTCTGTTATAATTTTAAAGTGCACCTAAAAGTTTCTAAATAAATCTTTACACTTTTAAAATAGAAAGTGAACAGTAGTTCAGAAATGATAGGCAACTCTTGTTAACAAAGACTTAAGAAATTCTAAGGGTTATCCCAATATTCTTAGCTGTGCTAAAGATGTGGTGATATTTTGGGTACACAACACTGCAAACACTGACTGGACCCAATGACTGTGTTTCGTAGAATCACAAAATCCTGTCGGTTGGCAGGGTCGATATTGGTTGCTCAGCACTTTGTGCAGGAGGTTCCTGCAAACCCCCCAGTGTGGTGACTGTGCTGAGCCTCGTTCTAGTCTGCCTGTGCTCACAGTGGAAAACCCGGGCAATCCACTTAGTTAGGGCCCTTGAGGAAAGCTTCATGTAAGTCCAAAATTTCCAGTCTTATCAGTTTCATTACCAACCAAACTAAAATATTGACAGAGTAGATAATTAACTAGCATCTTAAGGCTCACTGAGCTAAACCACTCCTCACAGCAACTTCAAAGGAATATTGCCTGCATACACGAGTGACCAATTTGAGCTACACTGCGCACAGGCACCCAGTAAATAGCTGCCTTCCCTGGGACGTAGATACCATTTGCAGAAGTGCTCCCTTCTTGAGAAAACACTCCTTAAAATGGCAGCAATGGTGCTGCAAGCACCAGCTTGTCCCAGCCCCCATCAGCAAATACTTTCCAGTGAAGGGGTGTTCTACCTGCAAAGTTCTCAACATCAATCTATAAAATGACAGTTACCAAACTATATGTCAAGTTTTTTACTACCTTCACAGAGTAACACCAGAATGCTGCTGCCACTCTTTTTCCATAAATATCACACGCCAGCAGCACCTGGTACTCTGGATCTACAGCTACAAGTCCTTAGCAAGAAGTTCAATTTCATCCAGCAAGAAGTCCATGTCCTCCCGGCTAACTTGTGGGCTGATCACCACCTGACGGAAGAAGTTGACTTTGCCCCGGTGAGGCTGGTACCCAAGCATCATGCTGCCCTTCTTCATCATCCTCTCTTTAATTATAGGAGCAACCTGAAAGTAGACACAAAAAAAGGTTGATGTCACTCTCGGAAATATAGCATTTTTGGGCAGGAACTGTATTTTGTGACCTAAAAAAGTTATTTTGAAGTGTCTGAGTTTTGTACCTCTTGCCTGTCTTCCCACTGCCTGCTCCAAGTAACAGAAAAGCTCAGGCCTGCAGGTTTAGAAGCAGATTGCACTGAGGTTCTAGGACTCCTGAAAGTATTAGAACAAGATCTAAACCCCTCAAAAGCCTGCTGTTTGAGGCATTCATCTGTGGCATGGGAAAGATTGGGTTAAGGTCCCTAGTTTTCCTAATTTAGATCAAAGGTTTGAACCCAGGAAGAACATCAGTCTCAGCTAGTTAAAGGCAGGGTCTGTCTCCTTGTACTAACTAGGCTAAAAATTAATTCTCCCCCTTTATGGTCCTTCTCCCACCACATCTGCAAAACAGCTGCCCTTAGAGGACATTCTCAATTGAATCCTTGTGAAACTTAATCTGCCAAAGAAGTCTATTAAGGGAGAAGACCTGATCCTGAAACTTAAGATTTCATCTCTTAGATTTTGGCATAAGTAGCATTTGTCTGCACCACTCTTGCATGGGATGAAATCTCACAGGTGTCTTACTGCAGACAAAAACATGAGTGAGATTGGCAGAATCAGGTCCTTACAGCTGAGCACTTGATCTCATCCCAGCAGGGCTGTTAACTTCGGGAATTAATCTTGTGCTTAACTTTAGGAATGTGAGTAGTTCTGTGTTGTCATGCTTGAAATAGGTCATAAGCTCAAATGAATTGCTGGACTAAGTACTCTACTCCTTGGAAGACAGAATTCGACAAATTCAACAAATAAGTAATTTGACAGAAGTACTATTCTTTAAAAGGTCTTGCATTTTAATACATTATTAAAATATTTAATCTATTATATATTTAGTATATTCTATATATATTTAATACATTAGTAATAACACCAAGGTAATTCAGAACAGTGTATTCTTTTTCTTCTTTCCATGATGGTTTGACTTTGAACCAAGGAAACAGGCATGTGACCTAAAAGACTGTGCCAAATACTACCACGTGATTTGCAAAAGAAAAATGATGATGCCAACCTTACCTTAATAGATTTATTTTTATGGCCTATATTAGTAAGCAAGTCCTATACACTTTGCTTAGGTAAAAACAGGTAAGGTTTTCAATACTAACAGCCTAGCTTTCCTATATTTCCTTAGTGGTACATGTCTAAACTTCAGCTGTTCCAAAATGTGTATCCCATTCAGAGGAGGAATGTTTATGGCTCCAACTTGATTTGTCTCTCTGACAGATAAAAGTAGGTTGTTTATTTAGAGTTTGTTTTTTAAACTACGAGAGTGGTGGAGTCACAGTTCTAACTAAAGTCCAGTGTGCAACATCAGTATAAACTGTTCTGCCTCAGGGTCACCGTGAGCAGGTCACATCCTTGGTGCCACAAGGGGTAACCCCAGCAGCTGTGGCCTGAAATGAACATGACACTATGACATTGTGTCCAGGAGACGTTGTGCTGAACACCATATACATAAAGAAAAGAAAAAATTCCTCCACCTCTGTACTTGACAAGAACCCCCAAGTGACTTCTGTTCAAGGAATAAAGATACTACAAGTGCAAGGGGAGAAGCGAATTCTTCTTAATACACTTTCTCAGGCTCTTCTTTAAGATTCAAATCCCTGTGGCAACTTTTAGCCTTTATTGATGTTCCATCAGAGTTATTTCATCTTTTGTATCACACTATTGATTCTCTTCATCTCAACACCTGGCTCTCCACAATCCATCATCCCAAAATGTGCAGTAGCAAAAATGGAGACCGTGAAAGCAAAAACATTTATGGCTTCAGTAATCTGAGGACTTTAAATATATTGCATTCCAATAGGTCTTCTCTCATGAAAAGGAAAGGTAGAGAAACCTCATTTTCTTGATCTCATCTATTATCTCATTCATCCTTCATGCTAATGAAGCTCTCCTCTTAATTTGAAGTTTGTCCATCCCTTTTTAAATCCAAAACAAACACTTCCTACATAAAGAAATAAACCAAACCAAAACAAAATCGTATGAGCTTTTGACAGGATTACTTTTGGAAAGATTTTCCATCAAGTATTTTGCATGTGCTATTTGCTTAAGTTGTGCAGTTAGTGTAAAAAACTGTCAGGGATCTTAACCACAGAATGCAGTAAGGAACAGAATCTGTGTCCAAATGCTTAAGTACATGTCTCACGAAAGAACGATTAAATGATACATGCATGCTAGGGCAGGAGCACAGGGTCTGACTGCTAACAGAAGGGAAAGGCGACTACCACTTTGCAGCAGAAAAATTAGACCTATAAGAAACTAATTGCCTAGTGAGGAGTTCGATGACTTTAATTCCCAGCAAAGTCAATGAGACTGGGGGATACTCAGATATCAGAAAGAGCTGCACAGGTCCATTCAGGATAGGCTTCTCGGAAAGCAATTTAGTGAGAGTGAGATTGCTTCACCAGTCCAATTATTTTACTACAGAACTTACTTCAAATTGTAAATCTAATTCTTTTTGTGGCCCACCAGTGGAGCAGTCTCAGAATTTTAAGTGTAATATATCCTAAACCCAAAGTTCTCTTCTCTCCTTTGCTCCCTTCACCTTTTCCTTCCCACTGCTAGCCTTCCCTGTCAATCCATCCTGGAGACTATAATTTCAAATGCTCACTACAGCAGCAGAACACCTATCAGGCAGGTCCTTCTTCTACCTAGGAAGGTGGGGAGAAGGTGCCATGTGTGGGAGGCCGTCCTGTAGTGGAGCTGCTCACATTGCTCTGTGCAGCCAAAGGCCCATGGAACTGCTTTGCCTGAGGACTGATGGGTGCACCACACTCTCCATGTGGAGACCCACACAGAGGCTGTAACAGCTCTACTTCCCTTACTATTAATAGCAGAGTTTTGTTTTGTTTTGTTTTATTTTTTTAAATAGACCAGAAATTACAGAGTAGTTTAGCTCCTTCTCTACCTACCTGAGTGACAGGATAATCTGGTCTCTCACTCTCAGTCAGCACTTAGCTATAGTAAAAGCAACAAAAAGTCTAAGCCCTAAAGTTTAAGCTGTTTCTATCAAGAGTCCAGACTACAGCTGATCCTCCTATATATTTACAACAAAGATACCAATGTTACTTCCCAGCACATATACACACACAGAGCAGTGCAATAAGTAGCCAGGACCAGCTTGGACACTACAGATGAAATTCCAGTGCAGCAGGGGGATCAGAAGAGCAACATATCTCCCCGTCCATATCCTAAGTATCCTTGAGAAAAGTGATTCTGCACAGTCATACCCCAGGGCAATATCTTAAGACCACTCGGTCCCACTGATTGACTGATCAATGGCATTTAATCCAAGTTTCTCCAACACTTTAAGAATTTCCATCAGGCTCAGGTAATAACAGCAAAACACACTTCAGCAACCACCCTTAAAAACTGACTCAAAAAAAGAGATGAGCACATTCTCAGCTGAGGAATCACATATCTAGTGTCTTGTAGAGCTATTTCCCAAGCTTGGACAATAAAAATCTTTTCAGAGGACTTAATGACATTCCTATTTGAGATAATTTCTTCTTCTTCTTCCAGATAGCAAGACCTCAAAAACAATTCTCAAAGTGGTGAAACTATGTAAGTCTGGTTCTTAAGCTAAAAACAACCTCCTAGGACATGGGTTTCTTGTGTACAGTGAAATCTACAGAGCAGCTCTGTTAAATAGGTGGTGTTCTCACTCCCTTAGTCACAGCACAGTATTATGGTTTGGTATTCATTCACTATTACCTACCTCTTGTTGAACAGTATGGACATTTCCAAGAAGAATTGGTTTGTAAATTTTATTCTAATAACAAAAACAAAACCAAAAAAATTCATGAGGTAACCAAGTGCCTAATTTTTCAAATCATATAATCCTATTAACTTCTAAAATACATACCCCACTGCACTAGTGCTGCTGGTTATGGATAGCCAAATAAGTTGTCCTAAAGAAAAGGAGAATTTCCCAACAAATATGCTACCTTGTTCATTTTGCTGAAATAAAGAAATCAGCACCTACTGGTTTTAATTAGCCTCTTATTTTTCTGCACTAATGTTGTCTCTGACAATTGCAATTAACAGATATGCTGAAAATGCAAGAAAGCTCAGGTTGGACAACTGCAGAATAGATTGCTGATAATGGAAGACCACATCAACCTTGATTATAAATTTTTTTCTTGGTGCCCTCCTTTAATCTGCAGTGATCTCATTTTAGACCTAATTCAATATTTTCAAACTGAGTCCCACTAATATAATAAAAATTATATTCTAGGCCCCTGACACCATATCTCTGCTACCTGAATGCTCCCTCTACTGTCATCCTTCTCACATCATCCTCACAGTGGGATAGTCTAGTCATACCTGACGTTGCATATCACAACAGTTTATTCAAACTGTAGGCTACAGGCTATAAGCTTTATATAACATTCTATAATTTTTTTCATTTAAACATTAAGTCAAAAGGAATGTTGTGAAACACTAAGGCAAAAGGAGTTGCAAAATTGCTAAAAATCTGGGTAAAAATATTCTGCTTAAGCAACGAATTCATGAGAATACATGGCTTCAGGGGAAAAAAAAAGTCATGAATTTGACAAATATCCCAAGACAGCATTAGCCAAAAAAAAAAAAAAAAAAAAGAAAGAAAAAAACCCCACAAGTAAAGACTAAAGTTTTTCTAAACTTTGGAAATGAAAATATTTTGAGTATTTGTTTCAAAACAGTGTTTTCAATTAAAACTTAAATTCAATTGGAAATTGACCCATTTTTATTGCAGCCAGTAGAAAAGAACTGAGGAAATTGAAACTAAGCTTGCCTGAAAACAAAAATCCTTTCTGATCAACTAAAACCAAGAATTGCTTCCAGTTTCTCAATTCAATGGCCAAACCAAAAAATCCACTATTTGTACAACCATAAATATGTGGGATCAAAAGTGCTGACACTGCTTGACT